GGGGGGGGGAGTGGCCCCCCCCCCCCCCCCCCCTTCCCCAGTGGATGGCTGTCAAAATACCTGAACAATGCCTGCATCCAAATAGATTGTTCAGGTATTTTAATGGGCAGAGGGGCCAACTAGCAAGATACTGAAGCTTGGCCCAGCGGGAGATTCCTTCATTCACACAGTTTAGTGTAGATGGAGGAATCTGTAGTTTTTTTGTGGATGTTACAAACCTTCCTGCAGGGGTTTTGTCTGTCTGGGTCTCAGTCCTCCTCTGTACATTCCTACTCTGTAAGCCCTTCTGTTGCTTTGTCTGCTCCCCCTGGGTACTCATTAAACATGTCCAATTCATTTAGTTCCGACACATCTGAATTTTCGAATCCCAATGCATCCGAATGTGTCCGAATCCAAATTTCCGTTTCTGTATTTCGGATCTGGTCTGAATTTTGTTCAAAAACGAAACTGAATCAGACATGTGACTTTTCTGGCCAATCAGATCTGTTTTTTGGTTTAGTGCATCCAAATGGGTCTGAACACAAATTTTCGTTACATCAACATCGGAGCTATATACAGTATATACATATAATACTAAAGCTGAGGCTCCTAGACCCGAATGTCATTCGGGATCCGAATTTCTGAATTGCATCCGGGACCTCACAAATGCCATTGAGGTTTGGGAGCAGTGGTGTAACAATCACCATAGCGACCAAGGTGGCCGCTATGAGGCCCCGGGGCACAGGGGGGCCCAGCCAGGACATCCCCCTGATGCCGTGGGGGCCGCCTGGGTCGCTATGGTATTTCAGACTGCTGGCTGTCACTGGCGGCTGTGAGGAGAAACACGCAGCCATTCACATGTGCAGCGCTGCGTACCTCCTCACAGCTGCTGAGTCGATGACAACCAGCAGCTTCGAGGCGATCGAGGAGGTGGGGCTCAATGACAAAGAAAGCGATCGTGGAGGAGGAGGAGGCGGACAGAGGATCACCCAGACAGGTAAGAGGGCTTGACCGCCCACATTTATTACTAAAGCTGAGGCTCCCAGACCCGAATGGCATTTAGGAGCTCTCGAATGCAAGTCAAAAATTCGGATCCCGAATGCCATTTGGGTCTAGGAGATTCAGCTTTAGTATTAATATCTGTGTATGGTATTCGCAACGAATATTCATAAAGTCATCCGAAACAAATTAAAATTTGGATTTCATTTGAATCCGAAAACCCCGAACCGAACTGAATTTCGTATTCGAATCCCGAATTCCAAAATAACTAAATATCCGAACCGAACCAAATTTCTCCGCAGCTTACGTGTCTAGTTCTCATGCACGTTGGATATGGATGTCACCAGCACTCCAGAAACGACAAAATAATAAAAGATTGTAGTGAATCTTCATTTTATTCACTCGAAAGGAATCAAGCGCTTTCGGGGCCGCACAGGGTCCCCTTCATCAGGCTTAAAGTGAATTCGTTCATCCGATGTTCACTTTAAGCCTGATGAAGGGGACCCTGTGCGGCCCCGAAAGCGCTTGATTCCTTTCGAGTGAATGAAATGAAGATTCACTAAAATCTTTTGTTATTTTGTCGTTTCTGGAGTGCTGGTGACATCCATATCCAACGATTATATCTGATGCGGCGCCATCCGTAGTCATTGCGAGCACCCACATCTCCACATGGGAAGTCGGGTAAGGAGTGCTACAGGTCCTTGGACATTAGTTCTCATGCACATCTCTTGCTGCTGCCTCCTCTTCTCTGGGTTATCCTGAGTCCTTGTCCTCTCCATATTTCCTTCCCGAGTACTTACATAAGCACATTCACATAATTTATTCCATTAGATGAGCTGTGCACATCATATATAGTTCCTTTGCATTTTTGAAGCTTGACCACATCCTGCTTGCCTGTTGTAGTGCTCTTTAGACTCTACATGTGATTCTGTTAGCTGTTTTGGACTGACCTAGTTGCTACCTACCTGCTTAGCCTTACTTTGCCCAAACTCTACTTGTGCTGTTCCTGCTGTAATTTATGATCTCTACTGTGCTCTATGTTTAATATATGCTGCTTGGCTTCCATTACCCAAGACATTGAGCCTTTGCAAAATTCTTAGAAAGTTCCAAGAAAAGTATTTTCTTTTTAGTATTGAATGTTTCAACAGGAGGACTGAGGGTCAGGGAAAACTTTATTTGATTTCACAAGAGGAGAGGGACTCTAGAGGATGGTGCGTATTTCTAAATCTTCATTGAGGCCTGTGGGGGATAGTGTATTTAATTTGTATATCCAGTAAATCTCTTGTTTGCAGAGTTGGTGAAGTCTTTCGGTGGGGATAAAAAGCCCCCGCCTTCTGTCTGACACTTCCACCTACCAGGCACTTCCTATAGATTCACTACCCCAATACCTCACAGACCTCAAAGCTTTGTCTGAACATGCATTTGAAGAGGGAGTGATCACTAAAAAAGAGAAGTCCGTCCTTTTCTCCTCTCAACCTAAGACCCTGTTCTCCTACCACCTACCAAAAGTCCATAAACATGAGACTAAACCCCCCAATTGCTCCATTATCTCAGGTATTGACAGCACATGGTATTGTCTCCTGATGGGGAACAGCCACCTTACCCAGATACTTTGGCTGTGTTAATGATATTATTTATATTTTATTCAGAAGTTTATTTATTTGTATTATTTATATAGTGCTGATACTTTTCTGCAGTACTTTATATTTCAGAACTTGGATTTTGATTGGTGGTAGAAGGACTATGAAGGTTTTAGTAGATGTGAAAAAGGTAACATTATAAATTTGATTTTTATTCTTGATAAATGTTTGTCTGATATATTGGTGTTTAAGATTAATGTAGCCTTTCAGCGTGAATAGAAAAGCTACAATTAAATAGACTGTATCGTTTTTGCATGCGGCTTCTTTCAGCTCTAAAAATACAGTTTTTGTTTTTATGTATTTCTTTTTACACCCAAACCTAGTCAGGAGTTTTGTTTTTCTTGTATCCTCGTATTCTGTCTATGAAGTTTAATTTTATTTTTGGGTCAATTAAGTTAAGACCATTGTTATTCAGGCAGCATATCCTATCCCTTTGCAACATTCATCAGGGATAGGACAAAGAGTGACAATTCCTCACATGAAATTATGAAGCTTTAGTATGCTTCAAGCTTTCATGATATTTCAAAGAACAAAGGGAGGCTTTCAGCTGAGGTGTAAAAAAATATTACATGCTGATTGGTGTTGAGGAGACACCAGTGATGGATATATATATATCTGCTTTAAAGTACAACTAAAGGTTACTGTATGAAAGTTGAAACCAGTGCCAAATCTAGTTACTATGCAATGCACAAGCCTTAATGACCCAAATTCTCCTTTATTCATGCCTCACTTGTAAACCCTTTACAGACACCGCAGCTCACAGTGGGAAGGTTTCAGCAACAGAGGCAGAGCTGTCAATCCAGAAAGTATTGAGCAGGGCTAGATGGGGCCAGGTCCTGATTGACAAGCTACCGTCCTGTTAATCAGCAGTGACAATACCGTTGCAGCCTGCAGCAATTTTTTTTATCCCACTCTGGTGCAAGCAGGCACTACCAACTGGTAGCTATGCTCTGAATTCAGGAGCAGTGCAGCATCATATCACACCATCACAGAAAGCTGCAATAAAAATACTTCACTAGCAAGCTCAACAGGTATTGGTAGGGCTGGATTAACATAAGAGCTATTGGAGCTCCAAGCCCACCACTGAAAATAGACCTAGCCGGCTCAGATCACCTCGGTATACCGGATGGCAATCCTGACCAGCCAGGCTGAACACAATGAGGCAGAGGTGCCGTCAGCTCTCTAATCAGGCGTATTAGGCAGCCACTCGCTGGGGTCTTGTGGGGCCCCAGCAAGGAGTGAGCAGCTGCCTAATTAGACATAAACAGGGTCCTGGTTTTCCAACTTGAGTGCATGGAGGAGGCATGGAACATGGAGGGACGCTGGAACACGGAAAGCAAGGAGGTGTCTGAAACACAGGGTGCAGATAAGTCTTGAAGGGTACAGTGGTTCTGCAGATCTGTTGGTCACTATTTCTCCTCAATCTCTCCTCTGGCTGTCTGTCTGCTCTCTCTCCTGGCTGTTTCTCCCACTCTCCCCTGGCTGTCTCTCCTTGCTCCCTCTCCTGGCTGTCTGTCCCACACTCTCCTGGCTGTCTCTTCTCGCTCTCTCTCCTGGCTGTCTCTCCTCACTCATCCTCATGGCTGCCTCTCCTGGCTGTCTCTCCTCGCTCTCTCTCCTGGATGTCTCTCCTCGCTCTCTCCCCTGACTGTCTCTCCTCCCTGTCTCTCCTGGCTGTCTCTCCTCATGCTCTCCCCT